AGATATCATAACAAATACATATATATACCCAGTGCTTTATTTGGTTGTGATAGGACTATTTTCAATGATGTAGATTGAATTTTTTTTCGATGACGAGGAACCCACTTTGAGACTAATAATGGCTGGAGACGGCTTGAATGGGTAATGAAAAAAAACTTTAATATAAGTTTTAACATAACAGCAAATGTACAACGTTTCGATAAGGTTTTGTCATCATCATCACCTGATGATGACACAACCTTGTCGAAACGTTATACATTTGCTGTTATGTTAAACTTATATTAAAGTTTTCCTTCATTACCCATTCAAGCCGTCTCCAGCCATTATGAATTTTTTATGTTTATACTGAATATTTTATTTATTTATTTTTTCATTACAAAATACAGTTTTGAAGCATGAAGATACACACTGTGAGATGAAACTTTGTTATCCTCGCCATAACTATTACACAACTTGTAAATAGAAGAAAGTCCCTAAGAAAGAAAAATGGAAGCTTTTGCAAAGGATAACGACATTCTCGACCCACAGTCTCTCTCTCTCTACTATAACCAGGAACTGTCTACTTGATAACCAGATGGAAAAAAAGGAATGTATTTGAGTTGAAGAATGTGAAGCAAAGACAACAGAGGCATCATGGCCACAGGTAGTTGGTCGAATGGCAATCCAGAAAGCCTATAAATTGGAAAATCGTCAGGTTTTCTGGACAAACGTTTTACAGGCGAGGTTGAGTATGAGTATACATTAAGGTTGTAGACATGTTGCTTGATCGGTACCTCATGTCATAGTTTGTGGTCAAACTTAGTAACTGAACAAACGCCCTACAGGTGGGTTAGGCATGAGTATACATTAACGTTGTAGACATGTTGCTTGTCCAATACCTTATGTCAAAGTTTGTGGTCAATATCGCGTATTATGACTCCCTTTAACCTATGCGCTCAGCTAAGCTCTTGAAGTCAGTCACTCTTGCATTTACAACTGGACTTTCAGTATGTATGGCAAGTTTTAGTCCTGGTAGATCTCTTTTTCATCAACTAGCCAATGACTTAACCAATAATCTGAAAAGCCTTTCCTGTTTTTCTGTTACCATGGTTTCTTCAAGCTCATAATCTTACAAGGTCACCAAGTTCCTGAAGGAAAGGCAAGACTTCTTCCTTAGCAAGGGAGCCATTGAAGCTGGGACATAATTGCTTGAATTGAATTACACTGTGCCCAAGCCTATGTTTACCACATCTGTGGTTGGGTTAGCCCTGCAGTTTCCAGGGGCTATATTGCCACCTTCGCTGGTGAAGGACCTGCCGGCACAGAGGGGAAAACATTCCTGCATCCAAAGACCCTACAATGACAATACCCACCATGATTCCAGAGAATACTCTTCAGGCTGCTCAGCAGCTTTCACTGTTGCCACTGCAGGGAGAAGAAATCAAAACTAAAATAAGGTGGGGTCCAGTGACCTGTCCTAACGTGGATTATGATTTTACCACATGGAGATGTGCCAGAAGTGTTTACACCTCTGACTGGACAACTACATCTCAAATGAAGAAAAAAAAAAAGTAAGTGGGTTGATTATATGTTAGTAGTAATATTGTTGTCAGAGATATATAACGTCATTTGTAAACGTTAGTCTAACAAATTACCAAGCTAAAAAGTGGTTTAAGCTTTTAGAAACGTTTAAAGTAGAAAATAAAAAGATATCTTGCATTTTTGTCACAATAAATTAGGTAAACTAATATCCTTACTATAAAGGTTTAGTGAACGAATGTCACCCAGTTGACGGGAATTTTCAAAATTAAGTAACATTTTAATATTACACAATTTGTGAGATTTCTATTAACTGTGTGTTTAAAAATTGTTTACTTAATTTTTTATTTGCATTCGTAATTTATGGCATTGATATGTATTGTTAGCGTACTCTAATTCAGAAGTTCCCACTATTAAGATATTACGGTTTTATTTTGCCTTCAATTCGATTCCTACTGAAATCTAATTAATTTCTTATAGGTAACTAATTTGATATTTTAATGGCTTTTATTGGACCCACTTAGCTTTTGATTGACTTCTTATAGAGTCCAATGTTATATAATCTAAATTTCCTATTGATTTTTTCTATTTGCTATCGAATTTTATTATTCATTAAGTATTTTCGCATGGGTTATTTGACATCAGTAGGAAATAAAACGAAATCAGATTACAATGAATAAGTGCCATAACTTTTTAGTTCTTAGGAAAACAATTATATAGCTCCATTGGTGTTACTTGTAGAAAAATAATAGAATCGACATGATATATTAAACATCCTGCGTCATTGAATCAAGAAAATATATCATAAGTATTTTTTCAATGCTTCATCAGATGTTGATATTAACATAACTAAGTTCTTAAGTCAATAAAAAAGTATTTGATAACTTATTGACTTGAAATCTAATATCATATAAATCAGTACACAAAGTCAATTAAAGAATAAGTTTTACATGATACGTTTAATTCTAGTGATTAATTAACAGAATAGTACAATCGAATTGTACATAATTATACCTTGTATATACTTTAGTTATTGTTATATAGCCACAAGTCATGATTTGTACACGTATAATATGAATTGTTGGCATATTCTGCAAAAGCTGTTATTGAACATCGCTCTGTAGCCACAAGCTCAGGATGGGGAACAATTGCCATCTGGAGTAGCCAGAAGGACTAATGAGGTAATCCCCATGAGGTTGAGCCTCTGAAATAGGGGAGCCAAGATGATCTGGAATCGTTGGGGCGGTGCACTGTCTAGTGTGTCCAAGACAAGTAGGCAGTCTTTTTACGACCCCTAAGCATTTGACACGCAGAAATACATAATTGAAAAAGTCGGAAGAGAAGCAAGATGACATTGGTGGACGAACTTCCCAATATGATCTCTTTCACCAACAGGCAATACAGTGGTCACTTGACAAGGAAAGTAATGATTGATGGAGCAGTAGAAAACCTTTCCACAAAAGGAGGTGAGGTCCTATTGGTTGATGATATCCACCAACAAGAGCTGTATCACTGGCAGGCAAGACAGTGTCACTTGCAGAAAAAGAAAGTGATTCTGTGGGGCAGCAGGAACCATCTTTATTATAGAAGGTGAAACAACCCAGAGCTTTGAAGAACCCATTGATGATCTACTCCTTAAAGCAGATTTGGGAAAAGGTAACCAGAAATACTTAACTTGTATTCGCTACTAGTACACGTCACTGTACATTAGTTAATAACGTCTATGAAAGTGCATTAGTATGAAGCATTCACATAAATGTAGTTTCCCAGTTTTTGTAATTATTAGTATTATTATAAAGTCATTACAAACATTTATGTCTGAGCTACTTATTATAATTATATTTAGATGTAATTGTACTTTATTTTAGTTTTTGATTTCCTTATGTCATAGATTTTTATACCAATTTGGAATCTAAAGCTGGAACACAGAATCTAAAATGGATAGCCAAGGCTCCCTAAGACCCTTCATGGTGTCGGCCATGGAGTGTTCCATGGTATATGTGAATTATGTGTTAATGCTTGGCTAAATGTTAGAGTTGTAAGGAAGCTGTCTATGGTTCTGCAGTGGATAACAACATCAGGTTTAAAGGTAAAACCTGGGAAGTGGGAAAGTATACAGTCATGGACACACAAGTAGAATTTCTCATTCACATTGTAACAAGAGACAGCATCTAGATTAACCCTAGAAAGGTCACAGTAGTTTGAAATTGGCCACAATCTCTATCGAGATGGAAAGTGTGAAGTTTTCATGTAATGTTATCAATATTTTGTGGCCAGTTTCTTCAAGATCATAATGATCGAGCGTGAGCGGTTCATGGTCACGCATGACGTGATCAGCTTTGCTTTTTAATGTTATTGCATTCTGGTATTTAAAGCTAAGTTTTCCCCTTTAACTAGATGGTGATTTTTGAGATTTACACTTTCGTGTAGATTTTGATATGGATTTTGGAGGTATTAGATTCTGCCAGACTTTAAAACTTAAAGTTTGTTTAAGTAACTTGCTTTAACTTTGTTTTATTTTAACATTGTGGGCTTTATTTTTTAGTTTAATTTTCTTTTTTCTTTTAGCTTACAGGGAAGGGGAGAGTGCTCACACTGAACTCGAGAGAGAGTGATAACCAATAAAGTTTCTATTTTACATCCCCTCTCTCTTACCAATGCTGCACATTCGTTACAAACAATTGCATTTGTTTTGTTTACATATTTTTGTTTATTTCTGACTGTGTTTTTGCTAAAAATATTGTTGTTCCGTAGGTATTGACTCTTTCTTGTTGATAAACTCAATCTGAGTTCAGAAAGAAACCAATCTATGCCCTGCAGCGTGATATTCGTTAAACTTACTGTATAGCGAACTCCACCTGTTTACTCCTCTGGAAATCCACGCACCAAATAATACAACAGTATCTTACTTTTAAAACTGTTTTTTTTTTTGATAAGTATAAAGTTGCTCAATGAGATATCTGTGTTCTCTCAACCACGGGTATCAAAACCCAGCTTTTAGCGTTTTAAGCCTTCAGACCTGCCACTGAGCCACTGGGAGCGGCACCTTTATGATTAACCATTGTAGAATGTAAATGATAACATATTACATTTTTAAACACTGCATTCTTTATCTACTTGCTTAAGGATTTTCAAGAATTAGAAAAGTTTATAATAATAATAATATTCCAACCACACCATATTTGTCATATTTATTGCTGACGACGCGTTTCGCTCAATTCAGAGGTTTTCAGGCCGGCTGGGACACAATAAACACAGCAGTGGTCGGAAATCTTTTTATGTAAGCCATTTGATACAACAACAATTGTTATAATTTGTATGCCTTTTACAAGCTGGCGAATAATTATTACAATAATACTTGTCATAAGTTAATAATGATAAACAGTACGCATTCACAATTTTCATATATTCTTAGTTATTTCAAATATTTTGCAACATTACATAAATGTTTTTATGATAGCCTGGTGAGGAGAAACGAAAGTGAAATCACGTGAATGTTACAAACAAAACTTACGCACGTTTTGATTTTTGTTGCTAACGTTAAGTGTATTTTCGTGAAAATGCGAATTTTATTCGATTTTTATGCAATCTTTTATAGTTGTTAACATATTGTCATTATGACATGAAGCTGTTTAAATTTTAGAGAGTGGAATCATTCAGAAATTTAAAAAATGTAAGCATAATTATAAATTATAGTTACACTTACTACTACTAGAGTTTTACTCAACTTAAGACTTAATCCTAGAACTAGAGGTTAGAACTAAGTAACTAAGTTAGAGCTAGACTCAACTTAGACACCGTTAGTGTTAGTGCCTTTATTTATGTGTGGAGACCTAGACATGCTCATAGGACTTTTTGAAACTGATTTTATTTTAACGTGACATTTGAGTGATAACAAGGGGCTTCTTGGCCAATCTTGGTTGTCCTATTAATATCCATACTCGAGCCCTAACTGAGTAACTCCCTAAGTAGTAAGTACTCATATTGAGTCATAAAGCTGTTTTATCTACCACTGTCTGATGACAGTATATTACGTTTACAGTTTACAAAGGCTGATCACCCTGCTTAAAAAATAAAATTGCCTAAGTTACAGACGACTACCAGTTTTATCTTGCTAAATCTTGAAATTGAATGTTTCCTAGTCCTATCACTTTTTTATCATTAAACATGCACACAAATATTCTATGCATCAATCCTATCTATTCCCTTTCAGTAGGATGCCTTCTAACCATTTTTTACTTAAAATAGAATATAATTGAGGATATAAGGATGCTGATTTACAAAAGGATTTGAATTATTTGGTGAGTTGGGCAGTTAAATGACTTAATTATTATAAGTTGAAGATAATACATGTGGGTTATCCTAATTTTAATTATAAGTATATTTGGATGGGAATAATGTTAACATTGTAACGAAAGAAGGGGAACTTGGTGTAATAATTGATAAGTCTGTTATTTTAAGCCATCCAAGCAGTGTCTTGTTGTTAGTGGCAGGGTAAATAGGATTTTACTTAGGTAGTATCTAAAGAAATATTGAATCAAGTCTGAATAGGTTATAATGTTATTGTATACATTATTGGTCAGGCCACACTTGGAGTAATGTATTGAGCCTTGAGCTGCTTGCCTCAGAAAGGACATTGAATTGTTGGAAAGGGTTCAGAGGAGGTTTACTATGATGGTCCCTTGGATGGAAAGGTTTTCATACAAGGATAGGTTAAGATCTCTAAACTTGTTTATTCTTGAAATGAGAAGAGTTAGAGTGAATCTGATTGGGATGTATAAGATTGTCAAAGGAATTTACAGTGTATCATCTTTTTTGTATTTAATGGCGAGCAAGGTAAGATTAGAAGACACAAGTAGACAGTTTGGCATGGTAAGTTATCTTCAGCTAAGACAACTTTATTTTTCTATAAAAATAGATGGTCTTCATATGTGGTAGATACATTTAATTTAAGGAAGTTTAAGGGGAATATTGATAGATATTTGAATGACAAGGGCTGGCTTTGAGTTTTTTAGTGTTTAATTTAGTGGATAGCATGGCTTTTGTTTCTTTTGGGAGACATACTTATCTTGAATATTTGACAGCTTATTTTAAAAGTCTTCCAAATCTGGTAAGCATTTCCATTTAACTCAGTATCAATTCCTGTCCCATCCTTTCAAAATTAGCCTTCTCAAAATTGGAAACCAAACTACTATTGTAGTTGATCTACGTATGTACTACCACCTCAAACCTTCCCCACTTCCATTCCATCAACCATACTCACATTTGAAGTTAATAAAAAACTAAAATAGCATCCTTCCTAGTAGGTTTCCTAACTGTTTGATGAAGCAAACCATCTTGAACAGCTTCCAAGAACTTATTATCTTTACTTTTTGGCACTAAAGTCCCTTAATCAGTATGTCTAAGATTAAAATCCTCCATGATAAAAACTTTGTTAGCTGCTTCATTCTTGATGTATTTGATAACAAATTCTAATTAACAGCATTTTACTCGTATACCAAGTAACAGAGACCCATATTGATTCAACCTACTTGTTATCCTTTATAACATTGTGAGAAATTAAGTTAGCACATCTTCCTTCAGATGCAGGCATTTATTTGCACATCATCATTACATAACATTGTATCATTACACACTTATTACATTACATACAAATAACTTATGTTAATAATAACACAACATAATGTTTTGGGACAACATGGTACCTATTGGTCCATCTCTGCTGTCCCATCCTCAAAACTAAAATAAAACTATTAATAAATAAATTAAAAAAAAGAACCCTTAAAGACACTGACTCTTACTTATAACTTAAGTGTAACTTTTACTCATAAGTAAAGTAGTGTGGGAATAACACCCTAGAACTGTATAGCATGTAACACTAACACTATCTGTCTATCTTGTCTAAAAGTAGTAGAACAGAAACACAACAGTCCAAATGTAACAATGTTTGGAGACAACAAGGGACCTATTAGTCCATCTCAGCTGTCACATCCTTTAAACAAAACTATTATAAATTTAAAAAATATATAAAAGTCAGTCCTTATCATTCATATAGTTATAAAGCTTTCTCTTAAACTTGCATAAATTTACTGCTTCCATAACATCTGAAGGCAACCCATTCCATAGGTCAACCACCTTGTTAGAAAAATATAACTGTCTCAGCTGAAGATGACTCCTACCCTGCCAAAATTTATATTTGTGTCCTCTAGTCCAGTGCTTCCCAAACTGTGAACTGTAGAAGGATTTCAGGTGTGCCATAGAGTTTTTGCAATTATTAAGTAATTTTTATTTAGTAATTTAAATTTATTATTAATTTAATATATTTTTAAAATTTAAAATTTGATTTATTTTCTCCTTGATACACAGTATAACAGTAATTTCTGTCTGTCTTTGTCAGGTGAGTGCCACTAGGCCCGCGTTATG